TTCTTAAAATTAGAATATGCTGATAGATCCTACGAATAATACAAAATACTCAACTCTTAAAAATAAAGGAGATGGGTAAAATAATTCAGTTATTTTCTTAATGTGTTGCTTTCTGGAATCAAAGCTAAAATCTGTTAATTTGGTTGTATGGATGTCCCATTCATAACCCTACTCTTTTCTATCATTTAGATAGTATGTTATCACCTCTCATAATATTATTAGATTTTTCCAAGTAGAAATAACTCAATCTACCACAACTGTAGAAAACATGTGTTTTTGCAAATAAGGATTTTGTGAACAATGGAAAAATGCCTAGAAACTCTTCCAAGGCATTTTGCAGTGGTGTATTGTGATAGAATAGTGATTTTTACCTAAGTCTAGTATGATTTTGCAAATTATTGCCTCATTAAGAAACCAAGTATATTGTGGACCTACTATGATAAGCTTAAAATAAACTACTTAAACTTTTCTAGAAATATTAAAAAATAAGCACTGGTTTTATTTTAAAAAAGTGGGGATATATTTCCTGAAAAAAATCCTCCATTATTCTCACATATGTATGTATTCTTTCATCATCTATTGTAAAATCATATATCACCTTAATTTTCTGGTTGTAATTACTGACAATGTCTCATATTTGCATCATGATTAACACTGTACAGAAGTATTTAGCATCCATTTTTATTTTATATTCTGTAGCCCATTTTTATGACTCTGAAGCACTTGCACCCAGATTCTTTCCTTTTGTTTTTCAGAACAGAATGAAACTAAGCTCACAAAATGGTGAAAAAACAGCTGTGATCTTATAATTTATGAACAAAAAAACCATTATATTTGTCTCCATTTAAGATTTTGCTGCAATGCTAAGAAAATTCGAATATGCTAGACTATGATTTATCATCAAGTCAACTTAGAAAACAAAGTTGAGGGGCCAGAGTAATGGTACAATGTATTAAGGTGCAGTTGGCAATGCTGGCATCCACTATTAGACCCAGTTTGAGTCTTGGCTGCTCTGATTCTGACCCAATGTCCCACTTATACATCTGGTAAAGACACTGAAGTTGGTCCAGACAACTACCTTCTATATGGGAGATAAGGATGGCTTCTGGCTTCAGATTGGCCCAGACCTGGCTATTACAGCCATTTGGGGAGTAAACCAATGGTGGCAAGATCTCGCTTTCTCTTTCTCCCTCCCCATTCTTACTGTCTATCTCCTTCTAATTGGCTTTCAAATAAATAAACATTAAAAGTAAACCAGGCTAAGCCATCATTCAAAATGGGCTTTTGCAATTTTTCTCTTAAATAAAAATATCTTAAATAGGATTCCAAGTATAATCATGTGTATTAATGGAAATATTTTAAGAAAATACAAATAGAGTCTAGCTGCTATTTGTTGATATTTATTTTCTTTCAACACAATTGTTTTATTAT